TTCTGTTTCTATTTTCCATATTATATGTCCTCATTTGAAGATAATATACTTTTACCGTGGGCCCTGGAAGTTAAGCTCGATTCTTTCCTTCTTGCACATTTTTGCAGGTTATAAAGATTCTGCTGACCAAACTCTGCCCTCTGTGACATTTATGCAACCATGCGTGCAATCCCACTGAAAACAACATGAAAGTGGAACTGACTTGAACTTACTAAACAATATGCATAAGTAACAGAATCCATCTCTTTACCTAGCTAGGTTGGCTGCCCAGTGTGAACAGCAGTAAACAGTAAATATATCACTAAATTGAGCAGTTATGACTGACTACACATGATGATTTTTTTTAAGCAGCTGCTCTCTTTTGAAGTAGAACTGCTCATAAAACTCTGAAAACGAAATCTAAGGAATTCGGGTAAAGGCCTCTCTGTTTTATTTTTAGTGTGTGACTTCCTTGGGGAAAAGATTGCATCCGTTTTGGGCATAAGTACACCAAAATACCAGTATGCCATTGATGAGTACTACAGGATGAAGAAGGAGGTGTGTCTTTTTCTTTACTGTTAAGTTTGACAAAGTAAAAATTGCATTGTCTGTAGTATTTACTAAAGATAGCTCAATCCATTTGGCCTAAACCTCAGCCTTTTCTTTGAATCTTTTTCTTTTTTAAAGAAGCTCTCTTCCCATATGCTTCCTCACCCTTAGACTCTTACCACTGGATTAGCAATTTCCAGGCCTCTTAGTGAGTCCTGGTCACTGCTGTATTCCAGTCTCTTGCACAGTGCACTTTAAGGACAATTTGCAGATTGTGTGAGATGCATGTAGCGGTTATTGGATTGACTGAATTCTTTTAGAGGAATGGTGGAGGCTCAGTTTTTAAGGTGCCTTTTTAAATTGTTTCGTACGGTTATTGTTACTCCTGAAAGAACAGGTTAACAAACAGTGAAACAATTTATACTGAAGTCTTTCACTCACAATTACAGAAATATTAAGTAACTTGTCTTTTAATGATCCTTCTGTGTTTTTCATTTATTTGTTTTTATCAAGCTACTTAACTTGTCCTAACTTCCCTGCTTGTGTCCTTTGTTCCCCCATTCCCATGATATATCACAAAATTAATGGCTTGCGCAAATGTCCTGTTCTTTGCATTGGCTCCTGTTACTTAGAATATTTCTAGTATTTTAAAATGGTAAAACTTTTCATTCACAATGGCAAATTCCTGAAATTCTGAGGGTTGACATTCCAAAGCACATGCTGGGGGAAGATCTTTTATAACCAAGTAATGACTTCTGTTTGCACATCTTTGTAAAATGTCGAAAATGCAAACCTTATTTGAAAGGTAATAGCCAGAAATATTACACATTATTGCTGTTGACAAATAATTGGCTTATTAAGTCAAAATTTATCTGTGTGTATCTCGTTTGCATGTGTAGAGAAAGTTCAACTCTTCAACTTCATTTCTCAGAGTAGTGTGAAAGGTGATTCTGGAAAAAGTATTTCTGAATGATTACTGGAATGGATCAGTGACTTGTAACTGATGTTTGCTTTGGTTATTATGGCTGAACTATCAATGAAAGCAAAATTTTTGTGAGTGCAAAGATGTGCTTGGATACCTGTAATTGAAACTGACGTGTTCTTGCAGAAGGAATTGTGAGGAATACAGGTTGCATAAACTATTGTATTGTATTTTGTGGAATTTTTTTCTTAGGAGGAAGAGGAGGAGGAAGAAAACAAAATGTCAGAAGAGGCAGAGAGACAATATCAAGAGCAGCAGAGCAAGCTACAAGATGAGACTACTGTCCAGACAGACCAACCTGAGGCAACAGCATGTAATGCATTTGTGAATCTCAATTTTGAAACTGAGGGAGAAGGCCAATCTGTTGCAGAAAGTAAACAAGACTTAACTACTGTCCCTACTTAAAATATAAGGTTCTGCATAACGCCAATTTTTTTAAATTGGCAGCAAAAGTGTGGGAAAAATCTTGTACTTTTTTCAGTGGAATGTAACTCAGTTAAAACTCTGGCCAGGAGAGAGCTAAATAATGTCTGTTCAGTCCACAACTATTGAATAAAGCCTAAGACACTGCCAAGCTGACATTTCTGTTAAAATAAAAATTTTGGACAACAAAAAAAATTAGTTGAGTATAAATTAAATATGCTAGACCTCATCTTTTTCTGAACAGTGTAGGTAAAAATGTCTCTAATCTGGTGCCTGTCTGACATTCGTGGATTGAAGATAGTGCTATTTTATACTTTTAAAAGCCTATTTTGTATTTATAAAATCCTTATTGAAAATTAGCTCTCTATGAATAGATTGTCCGACTAATTAGAACTGATTTCCCATAGTGGCTTCATAAGGCACCTTAGTGACTTCCAAGTTCACAATAATGTCTTTATTTATTGTCACCATTTTATGTATTTATTATTTAGACACGAGCTTTAACCTAATGGTGTCTGAGTGCCTGTTGAAACAATTTCCTCTTTTAAAAGGAGGTTGTAAGCTCTATTTAGAACTTGCTCAGCTAAAGCTACATCAATTGTGGAGGTTAGCAGTGCTCAGACAACGAATTCTGTTGTGTAGCAAAGAACAGTATGAGCATCAGCTCTGTGAAGCACAGTCTCACTCCATTTATGAGAGACGCTTCTCCTAGCCAGTTAAATATATAGTTTCTTAGGACCTTATTAGAACCTACTGAAGTAAATTGAAATCGGATTCCTGGCCTTGAATTAAACACTCCAATTGTCAACATTTTAAAGACATAGGGTACCCATCTACAGCTAAAAGTGTGCTGTTTGACTGCTTGGTCTGCTCTAGAGCATTTATATGATGCGGTAGAGTCTCCATATTGTTACCTGAATGGAATATTTGTGTATATCATGCAAAAATATTGTATTTGGTTGCAAGTGAGGAGTTCAGCTTTGCAGCTTTTCCCCCCTGAAGTATTTAAAAATGAACTAAAGAAATACAGGCTAAATTTCAGTATTAGAATCTCTTAAGGAAGCAATTTCTGTTAGCTCTAAAGAACTAATCAAAATTACTTTGAATTCAGTTGGAATTTCTTTTAAAATCTATTTAACTGAAATTAAGACTAAGCCTTCTGCTAAAATGTTAGTTTGTTTCCAATACAAAAATACAGATACTATCTTACCCAGGGGAAGACGCTGCTCTTCTGCTCAGAGGCCATTGTAAACCAGGCCCAAATAATGATTAGAGGAAGAAGAGTTAACTAAAGTAAGCAGCAGCTCGCTCTCCTAACTTGCAAAAGAGAAATAGTTTATTTCAGGGCACTCATACCTGAGCTCTCTAGGTAAGGAAGGAAGGAACTGGAGTATTCCCCAAGTCTTGCAGTGCAGAATGTTGGTAGGTAAATACAATAGTGTATAGTTTCTTCACCACCAACAGACATCATGTGAGTAATAATTTAAAATGAAAATCTTTAGGTGAAATTTCTAAAGTTTAAGAAAACATTAGAAATCTTGAGTGAGATTCTTGGGCGGTGCAGCCCACAAGGGGAAAAGTTACCACCTTAAGGGCTTTCTGATTCTGGGTACTTGAGGGTACTGCCTGACCTATGACAATCCTCCTGGGCTGTGGCACTACCAAGAATGCCTATAGCACTCTGAGCATGCCTTCTGTGCCCCCTACACTGCGACTTGTTTAGGATCCATTGCAGAGCTACATAAGGTAGCTTTGTACTGTGCTTGTGATGACGGAATTCTTCCTCTGCCAGGTATGGGTCTTTTCTGGTCTCTTTATAGTGCTTCAGCAGCTGTCTTAATCAACTATCCTCTTTGCTTTGATGCTCTATCCTTTGCCTCTTTCAGCTTCTGATGAACATCTGCAAGAGGTAGCTTGAGTCCATTGTGAGTGAAACAAAGAGCACATTGGTAATAGATGAACTACTTAGAGCCTACATTGTCTAAAATTGGTATCTGTTCAGGGCAAAAGCCTACAGTAACTTGTGAATAAAATCTTTATTAATGGAGAGAAGGATGTTTAGCTTTTTCTGCCAGAAATTTATCAACTGTGACTGCACTATTGTCTATTTGCTTGTACTTTCTGTTGCAGTGAGCAAGGAATGCTCGCTGTCCTGGTGTTAAAATTCTTTGTATAAAATGTGTTACTCACTGTGCCTTAATACTTAATCCTTCCTTCAGTTTATGCAAAATGTATGAAAGTGGTTACTTTAACATTTGCTGTAAATGCATAATATTACTGGTTATTTTATATTTAATATAATTTTGAACTTTACCTTGGCTCTGTTTTTCTTTCATAGTGTAGATCCAGCCCCTTTGTAGTTGTGTGCCTGGATCTGGGGTGCTTAAGTTACTCAGTGCTTTCAAGAGAAAACAATAAGATGCATGCCCGTTAAGTCCATGTCCTCCTAAGGGCATCTGTTTGGACACTGAAACTCAAGGGTGTCTTATTTCCCCCAACCAACAAAATGCATCCTGAGATGAACTCTGCACCCAGGTGTAATTGAGATGTTATACATTTTACCATCTGACTTGGGAGGCTTAGTACTACTTAGAGATAAATATGTATCAATCCAAGGGCAGCATTAAGTCACTTTAGCTTAAATCACCACATTTTAGTGATAGGGCAACATTAGTGAAAACTTCTCTGTACTCAACTCAGCCTTCGAAGGTAATATACAGGAATAAAAGTAAAGCCTTGAGGTGTATACAGAAACTTCCAGTTTGACTAGTGGTATGATTTAATTAAACCAGTGAAAACCCTGCTGTAAATACTTGCACGTAGCTTAAACAAATTCTGAATAGACTTAAGCTAAGCAACAACAGACCACTCTTTAAATTGCTGCAAATCCCTCTGTAGATACACTAATATTGTTTTGAAACATTCAGGTTAAACCAGTGCATGTTCCTCATATTGACAAGACGGTTCACTTATGCCATTCAGTACTTTGTGTGTCTACCACAGATGCTAGTGTGTGTGTTAAACTCTGCTTGTCAGATCACTGTTAATTGCTTATTCTCCCTCTTACTAAAATAAAAATTCAATTTTTTTATTTATACAAAACCTTCATCTATAGTTGAATAACGTGGGGGGAGGAAACAATACACATTGCATACATAGTTGCTAGTGAACACTACATGTGACAGATTTAAAAACTCTGACATCAAATACAGCAGAGTTAGACCAATCCCAAGATTCCTACTGACTTTAGCAGAAACAGGCTAACACTGGGCATTTTTGGAAATCCCATCCTTAATATTCTGCAGGTTTTAATATACATCCTAGAACAAAATGCTGAAAGAGAAATTTTACTTGTTACTGTAGGTTGAAGAAAGATTCCAAACAATCTCTTCAGCTTACTAAAATCAAACCACTGTTGCCTCTTACATAGCACTGTAGCTATTTTGGCTTCACCATTTATCAATTTGACAACCCCTATACAAAGTTTTAATACCACCCATCTGGGGGAAGATGGAAGTGTCTTATTTGGATAATGAATAGGCCTGCAGCTTCAGAGTTTGTGCACATTTAGGCACATCTCCATGAGTACAGTGTATTCCTGTTATGTATCGTCAATATCTGTAGTATTGTCATTATCACTTGCTACAAGAACCTCTCTGTTCTCATAGGTCCAGAAGCCATTCAGATCAATTAGAATGCTGGTAACAGTGTCTCCTTGGCTACTGTTGATTAAGTCTTGAAGGGAGATCTTGTACGGATCCTTGGGCTTCACCATATCAAAGATTTCATCCTATGAAAGGAAAACCATAGAATTAAAAGGCACATTTATAAGCAGAATAGTGATTAATTTATCCATAGCATGATCATTTGGGCAGTCTGTGCCCCTCACTCATGAAGCTTTGATCTAAAATAAGATTGCATCTTAAGTACAGAGCTGGTAGCTGAATACACTGCCCCTCTAGTAATGGTCTTACTCAGCCAGAGAGGAAGTATGGTGGGCTCAGAAAGGCAGCATGAAGCCCTGCCACTTTAAAAAACAACAAAACGCAAAGAAATCAGGCAAATCCCTACCTAATGTTATGGAATTTTCTCTTCATTAAACATGAGTCACTTGCAGTATTTCAAGACTTCTGAAACTAAATAGGGAACTGCTAGCTAATATTATGTTAGAATGGTATCAATAAGTTGTAGTATGCGTTTAGTTACTGGCAGTTCTCAAGGTAGAGCTATTTGATTTCTTTACAAGTAAGATAAACTTCCAATTATTGTCAAGCATCTAAAACCAAAGGTGAGGCTCCGTGTGTGCTTATTGTAGGTACTTGCATCAGAAAAAAATTTACTAAGAGAAGTTGAGTACTAAAAACTTTGCTTTCAGAATAATTAGTCTAGAATGAAGGGGAATTTCCAAGGTCACATTGCTGACGAGTTAAATCAACTTTGCCATGCTGTAAAAAAATATAACAGCTCACAAATACCCAGTGGCTACAATACTGTGCAAGTAAAATTTCAAATCTGTTTAATTCAAAAATTCCAGTTATGTGCACATGGTACTCTCTATATTTAGGAAAAGCTAACCTTGACATCTTGAAAAGAAACTGGTTCTTGTCCATGGATTTTCATTTGTTCCTGAATAGCCTATAGGAAAAGAAAAGCTGTTAGAGCAGTAGAAACCTAAGAAATAAAACTGATAATGTAGTGTTCTACAGTTGTTCAGTACTAGATTTAAAAAATATATATTTTTAATTGTCTAAAAGAGACAAGTGGGTGAGATCTTTTATTGGACCAACTTCTGTTAGTGAGAAAGACAAGCTTTCGAGCCACACAGAGCTCTTCCTTAGGTCAAAAGCTTGTCTCTCTCTCCAACAGAAGTTGGACCAATAAAAAATATTACTTCACTCACCTTTACTCTCTAATATCCGGGGACAGCTACAGTACATATTTAAAGAAAGAGATGTTAACCCTAGTGGTAGTGGCTGCAACCCATCCTTACTTCCATGAATAGAGTGAGCAATCCAAACGATGAAAGCAACTGGAATTAAATTATCCACAAAGGCAGGATTGGATTAAGGTCAATCACTATGGGTATGTCTACATTGCGACTGGCAGCATGCACAGCAGGAGAAATGCAACTGGATAAATAGACATATGCTAGCTGTCAGGGTTCCCTCCCCACTCTGAACTCTGGGGTACAGATGTGGGGACCCGCATGAAAGACCCCCTAAGCATATTCCTACCATTTTAGGTTAAAAACTTCCCCAAGGCACAAATTCTTCCTTGTCCTTGGATGAGTACTGCTGCCACCACGAAGTGAGTTAGACAAAGATTCAGGAAAAGGACCATTTGGAGTTACTGTTTCCCAAAATATCCCCCCAAGTCCCTTCACCCCCTTTCCTGGGGAGGCTTGAGAATAATCTACCAACCAGATAGGTAAACAAGGTGAGCACAGACCAGACCCTTGGGTTTTTAGGTTCTTAAAAAACCAGAACTTTAGTATAAAGAAAAAAAAGTAAAAGAAGCACCTCTGTAAAATCAAGATGGAAGGTAATTTTAGAGGGTAATTAGATTTAAAACACAGAGGGTTCCCCTCTAGGCAAAACTTCAAAGTTACAAAAACAGGGATAAACCTCCCTCTTAGCACAGGGAAAATTCACAAGCTAAACCAAAAGATAATTAACGCATTTCCTTGCTATTACTTACTATTTCTGTAATATTAGCTGTATCATTTCAGTAGGAGCTGGATTACTTGCTTGGTCTCTCCCTTTATCTCGGAGAGAACCACACACAGCAAAAACCTTCCCCCTTAGATTTGAAAGTAGCTTCTCCCCTTATTGGTCCTTTTGGTTAGGTGCCAACCACATTATTAGTGCTTCTTAACCCGTTACAGGTAAAGGAGGGATTTTATGCTACCCGTAGCTGTATGTTTATGACACTAGCTCTGTCTGAGCTACTGTGCTAAAAATAGTATTGTGGCCATTACAACACAGGTGGCAGCATAGGCTAGCCACTCAACAAGTACCAGCCCACCTAACGCTGGATTGGTAGCCTGTGCCATGACATCCACACTGCTATTTTTAGTGTGCTAGTTCAAGCAGAGCTAGTGCAAGTCTGTTCACCAGGACAGGGAGGCATGCTCCCAGCTCCCGTATAAATATACCCTATATGCCTGGGCCCTCAGCTTCTGGAGTGACATGATGAGCTCAATCTTAACTTTCAGTGAACAAAATAGTTTCGAACCCTCACAGATGCAACAAAAAGCTTGAAAATGTGACCTAAGTGTAATTGAGGCCTGCCTTAGTCTGCAGACAGCCTAAAAGTGTGAAGTGCCCCCATTCATTTTAGCTATAAAAGCACCTACCACACAAATGAGGGACATGGCTGAGGCAGGATCACGGGGGCCCCAAGTGGGGGGTATACCCGAAAGCCCCAGATTGCCTTAATTTGGTCCTGCACAAATTGCCACACTGCTAGTGACCTGGTAAGAGCACACTTAGGACTTGTCCACATTTGAAATGCTAGAGCTGCAGCTGGGCTGCTATAGTGCTTTCAGTGCAGACACTATCTATGCTGACAGCAAGGGTTCTCCCTTCGGCATAGGTGATCCATCTTCCCAAGAGGCAGTAGCTAAGTCAACAGAAGAATTCTTCCATTGACTTAGCATTGCCTACATTGGGGCTCAGGTTTGCTTAACTATGCCACTCAGGGGTGTGGATTTTTCCTGCGTAACATAGTCAAGCTGACTTAACTCTTAGTGTAGAACAGGCCTTAATATTTTTCTCTGTAGCCCACTTTGATAAACATCAGATAATAGATTTACTGCTGTGGATAAGAAAGACCAATTCAAAGTTTGATACTGACAATTGAAGGGCATTACTGACATTATTGCAAAGGCGGGGAGTCACCTGTATGGAGAAAGGGTGCAGATGACCACACAATCTAATAAAAATTATTGTATTTATATAGGATTTCTGAATACTAGCTGTACCCCAAGTGCCTGCCACCCTCCATTACAGAGGTGACTGCATTATAGTGGTACTGTACAAAGATTATATAGTTTGTAAAGTGTTTTGGGACAAAGGGTGTTACGTAAACTATTATGCTGATTTAAATGTTTAGATTCCACAGCAAAAAATACAACTGGTTCTGTATTAACTGAATGAAACCTTGCAGATTAAAGAAATGAATAATCTGAACAAAATGCAATTTTGCAGTGTAAAACATATTCGAACTTAACATCACGTGGAACTACACCCTAGCACAGCCAGTTTGAAGCAAAACACAGCTTTTTATTCTCTAGATTTTTTTTATTAGAGAAAATTTGATAGCACTATACCTATTACATTTAGAAACTCAATGAATAAAGACAGTGATTCCTTGCCATAGGAGAGATTTGAATTGAGGCACAACATGTTTCATTCACTACATAATGAAAGGGGGGAGGGATAGCTCAGTGGTTTGAGCATTGGCCTGCTAAACCCAGGGTTTGTGAGTTCAATCCTTGAGAGGGGCACTTAGGGATCTGGGGTAAAATCAGTACTTGGTCCTGCTAGTGAAGGAAGGGAGCTGGACTCAATGACCTTTCAAGGTCCCATCCACTTCTAGGAGATAGGATATCTCCATTAATTTAAATTTTAATTTAATTTATTTATAATTCTGTCCAAACATTTGAATGGACCTACATAAATTGTACAGTAAGGGGGAAAAACCTAATCCAAAGATGAAGGACCAATCAATGCCTGTGACAGAGTTCTGTATTTATTTTCTACAGCAAGCTACTTTGAAAGATGGAACCTGGATTCTGGTTGGTTAAAATAATTCACAGCAGTAGCTAAACTAAACCACAAGCTGGGAAGAGAAGGTCAGCATCTTTGTACAACGCACTAAAAAATTTAGTAAGTTAACTAAATGAAGCCATGCAACATGGTGATAACCAACCCAACAGTATTTAGCAGCAGAAAACACATGGTGCCAATAGGCTGAGGGAGTCCAACTTAAGGGCCTCATCAAATGTCCCCTGAAGTCAAGGAGAGCTTTTCCACTGATTTCAATAGGCATTGGATCAGACAGTGAGGACGCCAATTCATGCAGATTTACCTTGTGAAATTGGCAATCATGCTTTATGTAATTTAAGAACTACTACAAGTGGTTTTCTGTCAACTGTGACAAAATTGTCACCAAGTTCTTTTATTACAATTCTCTGGCACCATCTGAACCACCAGCAACAAGCCAATACTAAAGTGAACCTGTTTCACGCTCTATATAGAATTCAGCTCAGGCTGGATTCTGTACCAGCACAGCACTTACTGAAAAAGCTTTGAAACTATTCCACTGTTTATTTGGAAGACTTCTGTTGATCGTGCTTTTCCAGAATGATATAATTGAAGTCACTATCAGTAAAGGGTTTTTGTTTAATAGACAGAAGGTTTATTACTGAACAGCAGCAAAGGACATAAGACTATAAATAAGACTTTATGAGCTATGTCTGAATGCTTAATGAGCTGAATGAATATGTAATTGTTCTTGATTTGGATAGTGCAGGCTTGAGTACAATGAAATACAGTTGATTTTAGTATCTTGGTACAAAATGCCACGTGCAGATAACTAAAAATATTTTTGAGTCTAACTTTATCTGACAATTGTTGTTGAAGAAGGATCTTACGCCTGAGAACAGGATCAGGCAAATAATTCCCTTTGACATCAATCAAAGCCAGGATTGAACCCCAAGCTATCAACACCAAAAATAATTGATAACTTTTCTTACTTACAGTCTATTTTCTGCAAATATAGGCACTGCATAAGTTTCCAAGGAGATTTAACCATATCGAAAGTTTGAAGGGAGCGTTGCAAGCCAAAGGGAGATAATGTTACAGAAAAGTAAATTTGGAATTAGAGTAATTTTAATTAGTTTTTTAATGGAAGCTTAACTATGAGAACCTTCTTCACAGCTAAATATTGAGAAAAATATTTGATTCACAGAGCCTTAGAAAGTGCAATGAGTTATTAGTGTGTCATCTTGAAATGTTAATAAATGAAATGCTTGAAAATGCAAGTTAATAAACACAAGTCTGCCAGTTGGCATCACTGAGACTTTGTGGGATAATAAACATGACTGGAATATTGGTATAGAAGGGTACAGCTTGCTCAGGAAGGACAGGCAGGGGAAAAAAGGGAGGAGGTGTTGCCTTATATATTAAAAATGTATACCCTTGGACTGAGGTGGAGATAGAAATAGGAGACAGACTTGTTGAAAGTCTCTGGATAAGGATAAAAGGGGTAAAAAACAAGGATGATGTCATGGTAGGAGTCTACTACAGACCACCTAACTAAGAAGAAGAGGTGGAGAAAGCTTTTTTTTAGACAACTAACAAAATCATCCAAAGCATATGACTTGGTGGTGATGGGTAAGGCTCCATGTTTGTCACGGATGTCACGGAAATCACAGATTCCGTGACTTCTGCAGCAGCCCCGTGCGGTTGGCCCAGGAACTGCCTAAGCAGCTCAGGCAGCCCCAGGGTCAGTTGCAGTGGCTGCTGCTGGGGCAGTCTTGGGGGCCCCCTGTACCCTCCCAGCAGCAGGAGTTTGGGTGTGTGGGGGCTCAGGGCTGCTGCTTAACTGCGGCGGGGGGGAGAGCCCCTCCCTCAGCTGCCCTAGCTCCACATGCTGCCTCTGCTGACAGCACCGTCCCCGCAGCTCCCATTGGCCATGGTTCCCAGCCAATGGGAACTGCAGAACTGGGGCTTGGGGTGGAGCCGAGGCAACATGTGGAGTTAGGGAGCTGGGGCCGCCACTTCCCAGGAGCTAGGTAAGGAGCCTGTCGTCCCTGTCCCTCCCCCACCCGCGGCATCCCCGGGCCGCAATTCGCCCCTATGCCCCCCCCTCCAGCACCCACAGCACACACACCCCGGGTTGCGCCCCCCTCTCCAACACCCACAGCACTCTCCCTCCCCCAGGCCACAACTCACCCCCCGAACACCCGCACCCCACTCCCCAGCACCTGCAGTTCCCCCTGAGTTCCCTCCCCCCGTTTTAGTTAGGGGTATTTTTAGTACAAGTCATGGACAGGTCACGGGCCGTGAATTTTTGTTTACTGCCCGTGACCTGTCCATGACTTTTATTAAAAATACCCGTGACTAAAACGTATCCTTAGTGACCGGGGACTTCAATTAACCAGGCATCTGTTGGGAAAATAATACAGCAGGGCACAGATTATCCAACAAGTTCTTGGAATATATTGGAGACAATTTTTTATTTCAGAAGGTGGAGAACGCTACTAAGGGAGAGGCTGTTCTAGATTGATTTTGACAAATAGGGAAGAACTGGTAGAGAATTTGAAAGTGAAAGGCAGCCTAGGTGAAAGTGATCATGAAATGGTAGAGTTCATGATTCTAAGGAATGGTAGAAGGGAAAACAGTACAATAAAGATAATGGATTTCAAGAAGGCCGACTTTAACAAACTCAGTGACTTGATAGCTAAGATCCCAGGGGAAGCAAGTTTAAGGGGAAAAACAGTTCAAGAGTTGGCAGTTTTTCAAAGCAACATTATTAAGGGCACAAGAGCAAACTATCCCACTGTGTAGGAAAGACAGGAAGTATGGCAAGAGACCATGATGGCTTAACCAGGACATATTCAATGATCTAACTCAAAGAAGAGTCCTACAGAAAGTGGAAACTAGGTCAAATTACAAAGGATGAATATAAACAAATAACAGGTATGTAGGGACAAAATTAGAAAGACCAAGGCACAAAACGAAATTAAACTAGCTAGAGACATAAAGGGTAACAAGAAAACAATCTTCAAATACATTAGAAGCAAGAGGAAGACCAAGGACAAGGTAGGCCCATTACTCAACGAGGGGGGGAAAACAATAACAGAAAAAGTGGAAAAGCAGAAGTGCTAAATGCCTTTTTTGTTTTGGTTTTCATCAAAAAGGTTAGCAGCGATTGGATGACTAACATAGTGAATGCCAGTGAAAATGAGGTAGGATCAGAGGCTAATATAGGGAAAGAACAAGTTAAAAATTACTTAGATGAGTTAGATGTCTTCAAGTCACCAGGACCTGATGAAATACATCCTAGAATACTCAAGCAACTGACTGAGGAGATATCTGAGCCATTAGCGATTATCTTTAAAAAGTCATGGAAGATGGGAGAGATTCCAGAGGACTTGAAAAGGCCAAATATATTGCCAATCTATAAAAATGGAAATAAGGACAACCTGGGGAATTACAGACCAGTCAGCTTAACTTTAGTACCCTGAAAGATAATGGAGCAAATCATTAAGCAATCAATTTGCAAATACCCAGAAGATAATAAAGTGATAAGTAAGAGTCAGCATGGATTTGTCAAGAACAAATTGTGTCAAACCAACCTAATCATAGAAGATTAGGGTTGGAAGAGACCTCAGAAGGTCATCTAGTCCAACCCCCTGCTCAAAGCAGGACGAACACCAACTAAATCATCCCAGCCAGGGCTTTGTCAAGACGGGCCTTAAAAAACCTCTAAGGATGGAGATTTCACCACCTCCCTGGGTAACCCATTCCAGTGCTTCACCACCCTTCTAGTGAAATAGTGTTTCCTAATATCCAACCTAGACCTCCCCCACTGCAACATTGCTTCTTGTTCTGTCATCTGCCACCACTGAGAACAGCCGAACTCCCCTCCTCTTTGGAACCCCCTTACAGGTAGTTGAAGGCTGCTATCAAATCCCCCCTCACTCTTCTCTTCTGCAGACTAAACAAGCCTAGTTCCCTCAGTCTCGCCTCGTAAGCCATGTGCCCCAGTCCCTTGATCATTTTCATGCCCTCCTAATAGCTTTCTTTGACAGGGTGACAAGCCTTGTGGACAGGGAGGAAGCGGTAAATGTGGTATACCTTGACTTTAGTAAGGCTTTTGATACTATCTTGCACGATCTTCTCATAAACAAACTAGGGAAATACTACCTAGATGGAACTACTATAAGGTGAAAGCATAACTGGTTGGAAAACCATTCCCAGAGAGTAGTGATCAGTGGTTCACAGTAAAGCTGGAAGGGCATACTGAGTGGGGTCCCGCAGGGATCATTTTTGGGTCCGGTTCTGTTCAATATCTTCATCAAGGATTTAGATAATGGCATAGAGAGTACATTTAAAGTTTGTGGACGATACCAAGCTGGGAGGGGTTGCAAGTGCTTTGGAGGATAGGATTAAAATTCAAAATGATCTGGACAAACTGGAGAAATGGTCTGAAGTACATGGAATGAAATTCAATAAGGACAAATGCAAAGTACTCCACTTAGGAAGGAAGAGTTGCACACATACATAATGGGAAATGACTGCCTAGAAAACAGTACCGCAGAAAAGGATCTGGAGGTCATAGTGGAGCACTGCTGCAAAAAAACTAAACATCATTCTGGGATGTATTAGCAGGAATGTTGTAAGCAAGACACAAGAAGTAATTCTTCTGCTCTACTCCATGCTGATTAGACCTCAACTGGAGTATTGTGTCCAGTTCTGGGTGCCAGATTTCAGGAAAAATGTGGACAAATTGGAGCAAATCCAGTTAAGAGTAACAGAAATGATTAAAGGTCTAGAAAACATGACCGAGGAGGGAAGATTGGAAAAAATTGGATTTGATTAGTCCGGAGAAGAGAAGGCTGGGGGGGGACATGATAACAGTTTTTAAGTACATAAAAGGTTGTTACAAGGAGGAGGGAGAAAAATTATTCTCCTTAACCTCTGAGGATAGGATAAGAAGCAATGGGCTTAAATTGCAGCAAGGAAGGTTTAGGTTAGACATTAGGAAAAACTTCCTAATTGTCAGGGTGGTTAAGCAATGGAATAAATTGCCTAGGGAGGTTGTGGAATCTCCATCATTGGAGATTTTTAAAAGCAAGTTAGACAAACACCTGTCAGGGATGGTCTAGAGATAATACTTAGTCCTGCCATGAGTGCAGGAGACTGGACTAGATGACCTCTCGAGGTCCCTTCCAGTCCTATGATTCTGTGATCTGCACACTAAATATAAAATCCCTTAAGTGACTGCACATAACTACCATTGCATTTTCTATTACTTATAATGCATTCTGGATCCTCTGAGGCACTGAAACGCTGTGTATAAAGAAATTAAGACCATCCCATACAGCTGTCTTTATTTTTTTACCTTGTAAGTAAGTCTTCATTATAGGGCAATTTCAACTGTTGGAACACCAAAATTATTTTCTATTGATTTAAATTAAATCAAAGCAGTTTAGTTTCTAATGCAGGTAAGATGTTGAAAATGCCTTTTGAATTATTTCCAAGTTTTAGAATGTGGGGTTTTAACATTTTAAATCTTTTTTAAAGTTGACAAAAACCTCATAGTGAGCATAGGTAATTTAAAGTGATTCCCTGCAGATCTGTAAGTAGAAGCACAGAGACTATAACAACACACATCTAGAGACTTACCCTAAAGAAATAATTCAGGGAAAAAACATTCAGGTATCCTTTGTTCTCTATATCAAGCAGTTTGAAAATATATTGCAGAGCTGCAGGTTCCTTTCTGTTTTCTAATGCAAGCACAAAGTCCAGGTAGGTCTTATAGTCCTAAAAGAAAATACAATCATGATTATTACAGTCATCTTTTTAAATTGATTTTGCAAGCAGGAACATTGTAATTGGTGGCTATTTCACTGTAGGGTAGCCGTTAGGTTTTTTTGGAAGACAACAACATGAAACAGAAAATGGTTGCTGCCACTGAAGTGAACGGAGAAGTTTGTTTCTATGATTTACTGAGGCAGCATACCCATACTTTTTCACTGACATTTTATTTGTACACTAAGGAGTCTGTCCAGAAATCCAAATGAAACAGGCTATATACATTTAAACAATACTTGTTTATTACATCCTTAGATTGCCAAGCATAGTCCAGTTGGCTGAGATGGGGACCATATGACAAGGTAGTTTCCAAAAATTTCCTCCACTTCTAGTCAATAGTTTATAGCACTAAAATATTGATAGGCTTTCCATTGGCTGAGAGTGGGCCACATGACCAATGTACCTAAAACACAGGACTCTCAAAACAGGGTAACTAATGCTGCAGGACTTATAGGACCAAACAGACCCTGGGTTGAGACATTAAATATAGTAGAATTTAGATCATACGTTTTCTTTTTTCTGTTAGTGCCACTGCTTTGGTTTCTTGACCACAATACAACAAATTAACTATAGCTACCTACATAGGTTACATATACACTGTATTTCTATGCATTCATCACAACCCCATCCACTTTAGCTTAAAATTGGAGCCCCAGAACACAGACCGCTAGGGTGAATTCACAATTAACTAAGTTTGCATTTTATAAACCATCTCAACATAAACACAAAGAACAGTGATACACTATAAATGAAGTGTTGCACGATAAACAATATACACATACGTTTTCACTGATTGTCTTTGTCCATCCTAAGTCTTTAGTTTTAGTTTATAGGCTCCTCACTATTCACTCTCATAGCTGTAGGAGGCACACAGCAAAACCACCATAGTCTTCTGCCTCACATTAACTGCACAATGAGGTTTATTATTTAACTAGCTGCTGGGTCAGCTCTCTAATGAACATTGTTCAGTTACTTGCCATTTGGATTTCATTCTTTGTTTAAAGAGAAAGAGCCAAAATCATTCCAGAAACATTCCTGCCTCTCCACATTTAGTTAACATTACTGCCTTCAGTTATTGGAGAGGAAAATTTATACTGGATTATCTTGGTTTGTTACAATGGTACCTCATCTCCTTTCACAAAAATATACTGGAATAACACATTATGCTTTTTGGTAATAATCAGATAATTATATTTTCTAAGCTTCTGCTCTGTTCTATTTGCAGAAGCAGGTACTAAATAAAATAGTCATATTACTTTAATCTGTTCTTTGTTTTAAAGATAATGCTTATGCTAATATATCTATCATAGTTTTAGTACAGAATGTGTAAATCGGAGTGCAAGCTAGAGATACATGATTACCATTTCTCCATCATAAGTCAGACATTCCTGGAAGACACGATCTAAAAATATGTTGGTCAGAGTCCCTGTTCCATAGCGGGACAGTTCCTCTTTGCTGAGCATACCATTGTGATCTTTGTCAAGATTTAAATACTGGCCTAGGAAGAAGAAAATAGACTGAAAATACAATAAAATCTCCCTACATCATAGAAGAAGTAAATTTTAATGTGACAACACACAGAAGTGTCAAGTTCATTTAACATATTTCACATTCTTTTGGATTAAATGTATAAGTAAAGTTATTAAATTGTAATGTTCTAGCTCCGTAAGAATATTTATAGTGCACCCTAAGCATATACAGAATGTAGAAAGACAAGGTCCTTGCCCCAAAGCACTAACAGCATAAGTCACATGAAGATGGTACATGGACTAGAACATGCCTCAGAGTACAGAAATGGAGAGCAACAATGTAAGAAAGTTTAGCGGCAAAAGTAGTTTTAACGAAGGAATGGAGGGCGACTGGCACACAAGAAGGAGGCTGTTTCAGGGGTAAAGAAGAGATGCACAGATAAGAGTGGGAATAGACATAGGGAGCAGTTAGGACAGAAGGTAGGGAAGAGTCTAAGGAGCATGAAGAGAGATGTAAGGGATAGTGAATTTGAGGACCAAAAACATGAACATGATGCAGAAGGTGAGAGGGATGTAGTGAAGAATGGAGGAAGCAAGAGAGGAAGATTATCTAAGCAGTGGGGTTTTACACAGATATGGGACCACAGAGGAAAGGTAATACTGAGTCTCTGACTAAATTATGCAAGCTAGTGAATACAAATGACGGTGCATGTAGGAACATACCATAAACCCTCAATGCGGACGGAGCAGAAAACCAATTTGTTTCTTGACTTTCTTTAGAAAGTTCTTCATCCCTTAACTAAAGGAAAAGGAAGCACCCAGTTAGGATTCAGGATGTGCAAAGTGAAATAACAAAATATGTCAAGAGATTTTTACCTCCAATAAGTCATCCAGAAAGCTGCAAGCTAAAATATCTTGTATCTTTATCTTGCCTGTGGGGAAAAAAAAAATGTAACATGGTCACCTAGTTACACATCAACCTGGCCTTACTCACTTGAGAGGTTCCATTTACTTTTGTGGTACTGAGTGAATAAGGTTACCAAGATTTGGTCCTAAAGATTACCAGGAAAAACAATGCAAACTTTTTATTATCAATTATGCTTCCTAACCCATCAAAAAGAGAATCAATAAAAAAGCTTATCACACAGACACAGGTTAAACCGTTAAATTTAAGGATCAAACACAAGTCATTTAAAAAAAATACAAATTAGCTATTATAGTGTACAAAGCCTGACATTTGTAAACTGTGTCTCAGTTCAAAAAGGAATCATTATGGAATTACACAATTTTAAAGACAGGAAGTTAGGATCAAAATTATGAGTGTTTACAAAGTCACAAGTGAAACATAAACAACTTGTGTTTGTGCATTTGTGAAAAGTTATAGGCCAGGCCTATACCGAAAACTTTTAACAGGATAGTAACATTGGTTGGGTGTGATTTTTTTGCTTTAATACAACATTTTTTATACTGGTAAAAGGCCTAATATGTAGGCGTAGTTATAGTGGCAAAACATGCCAAAACAGCTTATTTCATTCAGGGAACTGGTATAAGCTATACCAGCAAAAGCACTCTTTTGATGGTGGAACCTCTGTCTACACTAGGAGGGTTTCCTGGTATAGCTATACCACAAACCTTTTCTAGTGTAGATTAGGCCAGAGATACTCAAAAATCCAACTAACAAGAGTATATCAGATTGACAGAAAGATCTCTGGCTTGTGTTTTATGAGAAGAATTACTTGGCAGAATACCATCAGAACTGCGGTAGTTGTTGTGCTGCACTTAACTGTAGTAGGGATTAATATAAAGCTAATCCTAGTTCATTTATTTTTGCAGCAGTATGGCCCAACATATTATTTTTAATTTCTAAGCAAATACTCTAGAGTACAACTTTGAGGTGGTATTTCATTAGGACTCATTCTGACTCTGATCCTGCAATCTGATCTGTGCAGACACACCATTAAACCTATGCAGAACCCCATAGTCTACAGTAGAGTTCAGTCCGCACAGATCAGATTGCAAGATTGGGGCCTATGAAAATATTTGTACAACGTTATGAAGATAGAAACAACTTCAGTATTCATATTTTAAAAGTAAAAACATTTCCACGTATGTTTGAGAGTTTGAAAACATAAGTTTACCTGTTCTGAGAGGGTCTAAAAAGAAGAAGAACTTTCTAACCGCAGTGCAGACATAGAACGAGTAAAATGATTTTTCTAAACCATCCAACTGAGGCAAAGTAGGGATAAGTTCCAAAATATAATTTTCTAAATCCTGCAAAATTAAAAAAGGAAAGAAAATATGCTTTGAGATTATAAACATTGCCATTGTTTAAATTGTTAATTTAAATTAATTGTTTAAATTATTCTTTTGCTTTACAAGTTTTATTTGTTGAGAACATTATCCTGCAATGTCACTGTACTGCTTGAGTTATTTAATCACTTAAAACCTCTCCCTTTCTTCCAATTTTTAAACCCGAGTTTGACTAATGATGATCTCTTCCTTTACAAATTTCAGAAATTTACTGCACCTAGTAAATCAGATGGTATCTTGAATAATTAGAGACTAATTAAACCCTCTATTCAGATGGCTTATACCATTGCCAGTAAAAGTGACAGGAGAAGAGCATATGACAGCACAGCAGCAGTTTTTTTGGTGTCAAAATTAAAAGACACCAGGAGCAATAGGAAGAATAGAGGGTGCTCAGACAATGCTCCCTCATATGATGAAACAAAGATTTCTGTACACTTGAGGTTGTTTCTTCAAGATGAACACCATGTAAAATGCACACCTGGCATTATGACTGGCACTGTTTCATTAGTAAAACTGGGGGGAAGGAGAAATACATGTGAATATGTGGTAAATCGAATATTTGCCGAATGCCAGTGCACAATTGCGGGATCTGGATGTTCTTTTTGCTTAATATTCTATCATAGATTTTATTTTATTTTATTTTTTAAGACTGCTACATGTGTAAAGATAAAATAATCTGAAGAGCATCGTTAGCACCAGTCTTTTACATTATCTCTTTATCAATAAATATAATAGAATATCAATTATCTGAAATCTTAGTATTGAAACCTCCCTAAGGAATTACCAGTATGTCTCCCAAACTAGCGATTCCCTTGCTATTAAATCTCTATTACTCTGTATAAGCTCCTCTTTATCCAAATAAATCTGGTGTCACCCAAGATGTCTGGACTATTGGGATCTTACTCTAATGGAGAAACATTAAAGTACAAGTCACCTTTATCCTCTCTATTGATTTAAGCTACCCAGGATAAAGAACATTAAATTTACTGAGTGGGCAGTACTTACCGATTCTCTGAGGTAACCCTGCCCTGCCACATCATATAAACTGAGGCCTATTCTTGTCTGGTGAAGCCATACTGTAAAAAAGGATTTAGAATCATGATACAGGATCCTTTTTTGGGGGCAAAGAATATTTAGTTAACAGAGTTAAAGTTGACTGACAGTCTCTTGTACCCTTTCAGAATGTCAAATGCATCTATACTTAATCCTCTGAAAACCAGGAATTACAGATTTAAGATACATACCAATCCTGCCCCACAATCTTTACCCTACCACCCAGAGTTAACAAGCGTCACTGGGGATATACTATAAGTATGTTTCAGCCAAGTTTGCCCCACATGCAACTATGAGGAATGACTAAGTAAATGTGCCATTTTATGTGGTGTGGTGTGTTGTGTCCCATGGAATTGTATTCTCTAATTTATTGGCATGTACTTACTACTTCTGAGGGAATTCTGTGCCAAAAAATTAAAATTCTGCACCCAAAAAAAAAAATTCTGCACACAATATTTTAAAATTCTGCAACATTCTGCATATTTTGTCAATAAATATATGTGGAGGCTCCAGCATGGCAGTGGGGAGCACAGGCCACTGGCTGCACGGAGGTGGGAGATCAACCTGCAGCCCCACCCCCCTAGGGACACGGACTTGGCAGTGAGGCTGCACCTGACCTTGACAGAGTGCAAGGGCCGGGCCTGCCCCAGAAATACCCCAGGGTCATGCCCCTCTGTGCAAGTGAGAGAGACAGAGACTTGAACGCGCACACCCAACCCTAGCCCCCAATCTGGGTGTGCGGCAAGCAGGCTCAGCCCGAAAGGATCTAAGTGTGGAGGGGCTTAGTGTGGGGGGATCCAGGTGTGGGGTGAGAGGCTTCTATGTGGGGCAATCTGGGTGTGGGCAGCTTGGTGTGGGGGATGCAGGGTGGATCTGGATGCACAGGGGCTCGTTGGGGGGTTCCAGGTGCAGTGGGAATGGGACTCTGCAGGGGGTCCAGGTGAAGGTGGTTGGAGCTCAGCATGGGAAGTCAGGATGTGGGGGATGGGGCTTGGTGTGGGGGTTCAGTGGGGGGGTCCAGGAGCAACTGGTTGGGGCTCAGTGGGGGGAGGGTGCAGGGAGTTTATCAGGGTGGTGTAGGGGGATGGGACTCGTTGAGGTGGGGATTTGAGTGCAGGAGATTCAGCAGCGGATGGTCTAGGTGCAGGGGTTGAGGTTTGGGGAGGGTATCTGGGTATATGGAGGGGGGGGGTCTGGATGCACAGGGGTTGTGCAACGGGAAGCAGCTTCCTGACCCGGCCATGGCCGATCCTTGCAGGGGAAGAGGAAGTCCCGTCCTCCCCGACCTCCAGCCCGGCTGGGACTAGAGATGAGCATGATGCAGGGTAGGAGCCATTGGCCAGTGCGTCCCCAGCCACCCTCCCTGCTGGCTGCTCCAGGCACCCAAAACGCCACACCTACACTGCGGGGGAGGGGTGTGTGACCACTTTTGCAGCTTCTCTTTGCTTCACCATCAGAAATCATTTTTCTGCAAGGAAACAAAGAAATCCGTGGGGGCATGAATTTTGTGCATGTGCAGTAGCACAAAATTCCCCCAGGAGTATGTATTTCAATGGCCCTTTACTGTTACTGTTAGGGTATACCAACCCAGCAGCTGGGGTTGTAATTCCCATGTTGAGTAGACATGCGTGCATTCTGCTCGAGCCAGCACCTAAAACTAGCATTGTGGCTGGGGCGACACAGGCAGAGATTTGGGCTAGCTACCTGAGTACAATCCTAGCCAAGGTCCTAGATCCTTCCTCATGGCTACAATCCTACAATACCTGAGTACAATCCTATCTAAGGTCCTTCTTCATGGCTAGCCGCTCAGGCCACACTGCTGCTTCTAGCTTGAGCAGAGCTATTGTGTGTTCGCCTACCTAAGCTGGAAATTATACCTCCCTGATGCAGTATAGACGTCCCCTTTAGAAACTGGTGCAGGGATTACTTCTAGCAAGTTGCAATAGCCCACACCACAATATATGGAGAGGTGCATCTACACCTATGTGAAGCCCTCGTTTTTGCACTGAGTTATGTGGGTTGTACAAAGAGTGGAGCAACACAGTTCAATCTTGACGTGGGAATTTGTAGTAGTAGTATAGTATCCATGATAGCACACTACAGGACAGGGATAAGAGTAGGACATATTCCACCAGGAATCCTTAGGACAAGGGATGCTATCATCTGGCAAAATTGGGGTAGTCTGTGCAGGATAGGTGGAGTGGGTGAGTATAGGCCAGGCTGAGGCAGCTCATGTTCACTAAGCCCAACGTAAACACAACTTTTGCCTTAGTGAGGACATGGTTTGACATTTTCTCCTACTGTACCTATGTGCTTTGTCTCCACCAGTACTCCATATCATCTAGCAGAATAGAGTGCTATGTCACTTGTCAGGGGCAGGTTGGGCTTGTGACACCCTGGCACCCCCATATTCACCACTGCATATAATTATGATATGTTTTGTACAAAGTATGCCTTGTGAATATCATTCTAAAAGTCCTGATCTGCTAGACATCAATATCTCATTGGATTGTAAGTACTATCATTGTATGTGAAGTTATGAAGTTTGGCTATGTATGTGCTACTGAAACATGTTGTGAGGTTGAAAACACCCATAAGCAGACTTTCAGGTACAACAATAAAAAGGCCAAACAATGTTGATTGCTTATTGAGAAAATACACACAACCACATGGATTACCCCAGGAACTGCGTACAATAGAAACCTCTCAGACGTAGCACTACACAATGGGAACTGTTTGACCCAGGTCACAGCAAAAGAGCTTTCGAGCAAGTTGGAAGAAGACATAAAACTTGGCTTCAATGTCCCTACAACACAACCCCTGAAATTACTGGAGGAAAAAAGACTGAACTGCAGGGGGGGGCGGGGGGAAGGAGGGCGGCGAGAGTGCTAGTCCCAGGCAGGAAAGAAGGAAGCCTGCCTGTGTATGCAAAAGCTAACCTGATTGTACTATCTAACTGAGTGAGACACTGCTTGATTCAAATCCTAACTATTACATTAGGCTTAGATTGCAGTTTTGTTTTATTTCTTATGGTAATTGACTTTCATCTGTTTGCTATCACTTAAAATCTATCTTTCTGTAGTTAATAAATCTGTTTTATGTTTTATCTTAACCAGTGTGGTTTTGAGTGAAGGGTTTGGGGAAAAATCTCAGCTCAGTTAACAAGGGTATGTGCATCGTCCTCTTCATATTGAGGGAGGGGCGGACTAGTTAATAAATTTATACTGGTCTAGTTTTGACCAGGGCAGGATGGTATAGATCCAGGTTCCTAGGCTGAGGAGCTGCGGGTATTTGGGCTGGAGCCTATCTATTGTTGGTTCACGCAGTGACTGGCAGAGCATCCATGAACACAGCTGGGTGTGATCCCTGCCTGTGGATGTTGGTGTGAGCACAAGCTTGGAGGGCTTTGCAGCTTGTCACAACGTCACAGTGTGAGAGGGAACCCAGATTGGTAGAACAGAGGGCTCAGCTGTACCCCAGTTCCAGGTGGCACCCCGGAGGAGACATATCACAGGGATATCACTCGAAGTGGGCAGAGTTAAGAGTGCAGGGTAGAACTGGTGTGTGCCTGAACTCTGCGTTTCCTGGTTTGCAGAGGTTTAAGTATAGGTGCATTTGATGTTCTGAAAGGATAAAAGCTTCTGCACGTCAACCTTAACTCTGTGTAAACCAAGTTTTTTGGCAGTGAATTTCTCTTGGTTTTTGAGGAAGTGGTGTTAGTAAGGAAGGTATGATTCAGGGGCACAAGAAGGCTTCCTGGGAACACCTCACTACTATTCAGATACCACTTCTGCCCTCCCCCGGCTCCTCCATGCTCTCAGTAGGGCTGGGAAGGTATGGGGAGAACGGAAAGTTGTAACTGATGGGCTGTGAGAAGCACATCTACCAGCTGGAAGCAGTAAGGCAGAGTGGAGGGAAGCTCCAGATTCCACTCTGGGGACTAATGTAGGGGGAAGGGTCTCTGCACAATCTTCTGCAGCATAGGAGTTCAGAGGTGTGAAGGGTTCATTCTTCTTAATAAGACATTTTCAGATTAATCAGAACATTCCCTGGAGAAGAATATAGTTTGACACAATAGCTCTGAGAGATGTGAACTGATCTATTCACAAGAGGGTGCCACACAGACAACCTGCTTACACCTAAGTGTGTAATGGAAGAAACCCAAAACTAACAAAAAAAGCTTGTGGTGGAACTCCGGGCTGGTCTACTCTAGAAGCGCTACAGCAACACAACTGCACTGATGCAGCTGCGCCACTGTGGCACGTCTGGTGAAGACGCCCTATGTCAACAGGAGAGACCTCTCATCACAAAACCACCTCCACAAGAGGTGGTAGATATATTGGAGAGAGAAACTGACACATCTCTGTCCACACTGGCGCTTAGGTTAGTGGCTTATTCACACCCTGGAGTGACATAAGTTATACTGACATACGTGGTAATGTGTACAAGCCCTCGGTTGCTTAAAGAAGAGCATAAGGCATCTTAAATAGTTACCCATTCACTACTTTTCCTTGTGTGGTGTCAAATCTGCAACAGTAGCTTGGAACAGTCTTAGCAGGAAGTCAAGGTGTGAGTAAGCAGGAAGGCAGATGACTTTCAAAAGCTTTATGTCAAAGCCATAAGGAACCTGCCATTGATATTTCAGGAGTTTGAATCTTTTTTCCTATAAAACAATACTCAGAAAAAAAAGGTGGAACAGGAAAATAGGATTTTTAACCTAAGGGCCAGATATTGCTCCTGTTGAAGAGAACTGCAAGTGTCCTGTTAGACTTCAACAGATGAAGGGCCATATACTAGGAATATAATACGATTTAAATACGCCTGAAAATAAAATAATATTCAATATCACAGAAGAAATATCTACTCACCTTTTCTCATCACATAATTGAAGAACTGCATGATAGATATCCTTCCATAGGGATCATTGTGGAGTAATTTAGCAAAAACTTTCGCTGTAAAGAACTGCCTATGAAACACAAGAATGACAACACTAAGGGCTTGAAATGCAACAATCTAGACACTACCTATAGAATGAATTCTTCCATCAACCTAGTGCCGTCTACACCAGGGGTTAGGTCGGCTTAACTAGGTCGCTCAAGGGTGTGGATTTTGCACACCCCTGAGTGACATAGCTGGGTTGATCTAACTTTTTACTGTAGACGAAGCCTCAGACTGTGCAAATCTAATATAATGACATCAAGTTGACTGGTTGATACAGCTACAATATATAAAACAACTAACATTCTTCTGAATATTATTTCATGACAGGATAGGATATGTTATTTTTCTGGAAATGGATAAAAAGAATAGAAGACACTAGGCCAGATCTTAATCTCAGGCATGCTATCCAGGGGCCTCAGAAAATCTGTAACATGAATGAATTTCACAAGCAAAGTAAGAGATTTTAAGAGAGATGCGCAGTGACATACAATGGATATAAGAGATCAGAAAATGAACCTGAATTTTCAGAGCTGCCTGGTTTTCTACAACAAAAACAAACTATAAAATGTAATACTGCAGTCGCTCCCTGTCCAATTTTCCTCATTGGTTTCAAGAGTAGTTTCCCACATTATAATAGCAAACGCTTTGTTTCTATTTATAGAAAGTAAACTATGCACCACTTAACTAGGACAGCTCAGATTTAAGTTCAATAATGAACAGCATCAACTGCTGCTTAGTGGAGATGCCTTCTGATGATTTAATGATCTTTTGTGTATTTCAATTCTGGTTAAATCTATTTACCCTTTTAACAGCTTCCAAGTCTCCTTAACTAGGATGATGTATGAAGAAACTGTATGACCTGCCTGACTACAACCTGTTCTTGACTATTAATTTGCTCCTGCCAAATCAAACAAACTAACTGGGCTGCTATGCTGGGTGTATAAAAGAGGCCTCTGACACTGGAGAGGCACCAGGATCAGTCCATCCGTTAGTGTAGATAGTGCTTCTTCCCAGCCACATGAGCTCTGCGGTTTCCTGGACAGTAGCATTACTATTAGAATGGTATTTCTGTTCATAAGAACTTCCTCTTAATTAAAATTAAACAGGATTTACTGGGGCATCTCAATCAAAAGGATCCTACCATGTCTGACATTAACTTTTTTGCAGGGGTGGAAATTGAAGAGTCCAGTGATAATTTTCTTATATAATACCATTTGCTCACCCTTAGTTAAACTTCCTATTATAACTTTAAATAATCAGATAGTTAAATAGTATTATGATCTTAAATAGCTGTTTAGCTTTAGTAAGCATGCACTAGATAAAGGAGCCTTACTTGCACTTGGGTCCAGCTTTCTCACCAACTTTCAAGAAGCTCTCATAATTGATCATTGCTTCCTCCCCAATCATAGGCGGTGTCTGATGTTTGTCCAGCAGAAACCACAAATTCTTAAAAGGGATTTAGATTTGGTTAGGGAAATATCACATAACAAATGTTAACATGCTCAAACAGGTTACTCATATCTAGGGCTCTGTGTCTGACACGGATGTCATGGAAGACACGGATTTGGTGACTTTCTGCGACCTCCATGACTTCTGCAGGGGCCAGTGTGGCTGACCCCAGGACCAGCTGCTCAGGTGGCCCCGGGGACAGCCACAACAGCCACTGCTCCAGCAGACCCCGGCAGTGGTCCTGGGGTGGACGGAGCAGCCACAGTCCGTGGCTCCTGGCAGCTGGTGCCACTGGCCCCGGCTCCCTCCCCCCCGATGCCCCTCCCCAGCAGTGCCCCCGGAACCCTCCCCCTCCCCCTGGCCAAGATTTAATCGCATGCATTTTTGGTATAGGTCATGGACAGGTCAAGGACTTTGAATTTTTGTTTATTGCCCGTGACCTGCCCATGACTTTTACTAAAAATACCAGGGACTAAATCTTAGCCGTACTCATATCTAAGAGCATGTCTTCAATGCAGAGTTAATTTGGGCGACTGGCACTCAGCTTTGAGCACCCAGGTTGGCCTAGCTCAGGTGCAAGCCGCCACATTGCAAACCTATAGTTGAATGTGTCCACCCAACTGCATCCATACTGGTACTCTACTCATCTGTGTGTATCATTTGGGGGGCCACAGCCCATGGTTCTTTGTACCCAGTAAGTTAAGCTGTTCTTTGATTCTTTCTCAGTGAATTGCATAGGTACTGGAACTAGGGGTGCTCCTGCACCCCCTAGCTTGAAGAAGTTTCTATCATATAGAGGGTTTACAGTTTGGTTCAATGGCTCTCAGCACCCCCATTATTGCTCCAACACCCCTGGTGAATTGTGGGAAGGCATTGGAGGACTGTCAGCACTTGAGTGATTTAACCTGCGTTCACACTACAAAACTGGCAGGCTAGCAGCCCATGTGTAAACAGCACTTAAGCTTTAGGTCACACCCCAAGATGGGCCAACTATCTGGGGTGTGAAGCACCACCACACTCAGGTGAGAGGTTTTGTGGGTGGGCAGGAGCCAGGATAGGGGCAACACTTGAGGTAAGAGCTTGAGTTAACTCTGCAGTGAAGACAAGCCCTAACAATAGACTCATAGACTTTAAGGTCAGACGGGACCATCACGATAACCTAATCTCACCTCCTGCATGTTGCAGGCCACAGAACCTCACCCATCCACTCCTATAATAGATCCATAACCTCTGGCTGAGTTACTGAAGTCCTCAAATCATGGTTTAAAGACTTAAAGTTACAGAGAATGCACCATTTACACTAGTTTAAACCTGTAAGTGACCTGTGCCCCATGCCGTAGAGGAAAGCGAAAACCCCCCCAGGGTCTCTGCCAATCTGACCCAGGGGAAAATTCCTTCCCAACCCCAGATATGGTGAGCAGTTAAACCCTGAGCACGTGGGCAAGACCCAGCAGCCAGACAACTGGGAAATAATTCTCTATAGCAGGGGTCGGCAACGTTCGGCACGTAGCTCGCCAGGGTAAGCACCCTGGCGGGCCGGGCCAGTTTTATTTACCCGCTGACGCGGCAGGTTCGGCCGATCGCAGCCCCCA